TAACAGCTATGGAGCACTTGCAAGGATTTCAGTCAATGTGAGTTACCTATATTTGCTTATTTAACGCCCATATACCTTTGTGAGATAGGTAGTATTATTAGCCCCATTTAAAAGATGAGAAAACTGTAGGCTTAAAGAAATTGAATAACATATCAATAGAAAGTTTGTTGAACTTGATGGAATTAAAGTGGGTCTCTAAGGGCTTTGGCGGTTCACAAACAGGACCTGCAGTCCCAAGGGATGTCTCTGATAATGGAGGAAAAACTTCTCTGTTGGAGAGGAGAGCTGCCCACAGAACTGGACTTTGCGAAGTAGAAATGTGGGCTGATATAATGTTCATCCTTCATCTCAAAAAGGATGGTTAAGAATTATTAACCATAGTAATAACCATATTATCGTCTCCTAGCTTCAAAACAACCTTGAGACGTAAGTCAGCTATTATAGTCCCATTTAATGGATGATGAAGCAAAAGCCTAGAAAGAAGTGATAATAAGAGGTGGAGTTAGGACTTATACCCAGGCCTGTCATTCTTAGCCAAGATTCTTGACTATGTTCTCCTTTAATACAGCAAGGCAAAGCAAACAAAGAATCCACAAACAAACAAGTGTTAAAGGTAGAAGATTCTCATAGGAGGTACCTTCTGGGAGCAGAGGTGTTTCTTTCTGGGAAGCAGCTGGGGAGAGGGCTGATTTGAATACAAAGTCTGCTGGGGAGCTTCTGTCTCCCAGGAAGTCAAGTTGGACAGAGCACCCTGTTCCTGCTGTTCTATCTTATGGTTTCTTGTGTGTTGCTAACAGAAAGGGGGGTGGGTGGGTTTGATCCCCAGGCTCTGGGGACTCAACCCTGTCTCCTTAGACAGAAGGGGAAGGGAAGAAGTTTCCCTCTTTGCTTCCTTTCTTTGTGTTTTCCTGCTCATGCCCTGCAAGTCTCCTGGGTCCCAGGGTCCCAGCCTTTGGTGGGGAGCTGCTACCCTCTCCCTACCAGCTGCCCACTCCCTACCAGCTGCCCACTCCCTACCAGCTGCTGCTTCTGGTGGGAGGATTTCTGGAGGGGTTTCAGTGGGAGGTTCCAGATGGGCTAAGCAGCAGCCCACTTCAGAATGAAGGGACCTAGATTCAAATTCTGCAGTGCCCCAGAGGGTGACAGATGGGAAGTGTGGGGGCTGTTTGCTGCCTTGATTGATCTTTGAGAATTTCTGCATTGTTCACCAAGCCACCTAGAATACACATCGCTGCACTTCATCTTCTTCCTTTTCAAAATGCAGGCCCATCTACTTTCAGCTTTATGAGCTATGAGGAAGTACTTTTCACACCCCAGATTTTAACTTCTTACCTCCTCCTGTTCTCTTTCTTCTTTTCTCTCCTCCAAATGTCAGGGTTTTGGTCAGCCAAAGATAAAGGTAGAAAGACTGTGTGTGGCTCTGGGCCACAGGGATGTGGTGCTGGTTTGCCTGAACTCTCCTGCTGAGCTCAGCCTTGGCTGGTCCACAGAGTCTAGATGTCCTGCATTTTATTTTAGTGTGGTGACTGCTTTTTCTCTCCACTATTTCTTGCTGTTGCCAACAGATGGAGGTCTCTGGTCCAAAGACTTCTTGGATCAGAAAGGGCCTGTAGGGAGAATCCTGTTGCTTTCTCAGGCCTCAAGGCCAAGAACTAATTCCCACCATCCAAAGGAGATTGTTCACTTGCTTTTATTTAAAAATCTTGAGGAATGAATGCTTTAAAAATAGTGCCATGTAGTCTTAAATATTCCCACAGTTAGGGAAGTCTTTTGAATGTCTAACCTAAAATCTAAGCTTTAACTAAAGGCTGTTTCCTGTTGACATATGGAGAAGGAAGACAAGATTCTTCTCACTTTATGGCATTTGCTTCTCTTCGTAAAGGATCTGCCTTTTAAATTTATTTTGTCATGTCCAAACATTCCTGAGCTTCATGATGGACGAGCTTTAACTATAGGCTCAGTGATACATTACGCTGGTAGGGAACAAGTGGGGAGCCCATTTGTCCAGTGAAAGATAGACAAAATGGTTTATAACTGGATGTCTGAGAGTAAAATATGGACATTTGGAGGCTCTGGATGAAGGGTATGTGGGAATTCTTTGGGTCCGAAAGTATTTCAACTTAAAGGTTAAAATGATTTTTGTAAGAAATTATGTAAATCTTCCTTGTTTGGCTTAAAAAAATTTTTTTTAAGTTTATTTATTTTGACAGAGAGGGCTCAGGAAGGGGAGAGAGAGAGGGAGAAAGAGAGAGAGAGAAAGAGAGAGTCCCAAGAAGGCTCTGCACTGTCAGCATGGAGCCCCATGCAGGGCTCAAATCCACGAACCTTGAGACTGTGACCTGAGCTGAAATCAAGAGTTGGATGCTTAACTGATTGCACCACTCAGGTGCCCCTTCTTTGTTTGCTTTTGAGAAGGTGATGAATGTAAGAACAGAGCTTAGCATGCTCTGGTTTCCTTTTCATTATATGGCTGCAGCAGGGTTGCTTCCCAGGGATGGAGGGACTCTGAACCTCACTAGAGGGGCTAGCGAAACCAAGGGTGGGTAGCCCTCTATGGGAACAGGGAGGTATGGCCATATAGATTTATCCAAGTAGCTACAAGGCTAGAGAGAGGCCAGCAGAGAAAGAAGAGGGGAGGTCTGGAGCCCGGAGGGCAGGGAGTGCAGATACTCCTTGGGGCAATGGGGGTAGAACCCCTAGAGGACTGAGAATGGAGGCCAGCCTGGGGCAATTGCCAAAGGGCCCAATTCCAGAACCTGCTGCACCAGGAATTGTCAGCTCATGGGCCACTTTACCTTGGCAGAGCTTGCAAAAATACTTTGACACTTCCTTTCCCATCACAGCACAGGAGGGAGGCAAAACAAGCTGTCGTGTCCCCATTCTACAGAGGGATAGTGAGACCTAGCATGCTGATGCTGTTGGCTCAGGAACACAGTTTGCAAATGGAAAAGTCAGAATTCAAATCTAGGTTCCTTCCTTCTGAAGTGCACACTCTTACGCTGACATTTTACTGTCTAACAGCAGGATGGTGGCCTGGGCAAATCTCAGGGTAGGAATTGTCCTTGGCATTTTCCCTGCATGGACATCTGGCCTGTGTGTTTTGTCTCATTCTAGCTGTTCCCAAATTCTCCTCTATCTTAATGGTCTCCACTGGCCCGCCTGTCACAGACTGTTCCTCCTGGTGATGGGGGGCAACATGTCAGGACAGATGCTGAGTCAGGCCTCCTTGTGAATCAGAGACTGTAGTAGGCTTGACTTGGGACATGAAGGATGATGCCTTCTGCCAGCCTTGATATGTTGACTTCGTACCAGAACCTCCAGAGACTTCCAGCCACACAGCAGTTCTGACCCACTTTTGTTTGGCTGAGCTGCAGGGGGCACAGTGTGCAAATCTGCCAGCTTGCGCCTTGAGGGCAAATGAGCTCAATTAAGTAGGCAGGTCCCAGTGAAGCTTTTCTGCAACGCCATTATTAATCTCATGGAGCATGGAAGAAAATATAACCTAACGTCTCTCTGCCCCATTTTCATCTATGGCAATGTTTGGGAGGGAGGATCATACAGAGGGATGTCTTTGCTGCCACATTAAGGGGCTAGTTTCCCTTCAGCCAGGATGTACTGTCTTTCTCTGTGTGTCCTTATTCCTCATGCCCACCCCCAGAGTCCCCAGGACTCCACTCTGAATTTCACAGATTGCCATGGCCGTGGTTCATGGAAGGGCAGGAAGAGTGTTGTAACTTTGTTTTCTGAACTTCTGTTTTTTTTTTTGTTTTTTTTTTTGTGTGTGTGGTGTGTGTGTGTGTGTTTTTTGTTGTTGTTGTTTTTTGTTTTTTTTTTGGAACAGAGCAGCACTTTCCAGAGGTGATGCTGGGGGAAGAATTTCTTAGCCTCAGTCTGGACCAGGTGTGCAGCTTGATATCCAGTGACAAGCTGACCGTTTCTTCAGAGGAGAAGGTATGGCATGGGCCTTTGGTGAAACAGGAGCCTCACGCATGAGGCGGTTGTGGGAGGGAGTTGTGGTTTGGTGAGATATTTTTTTCATCTTCAGTGGCAAAAAAGGATCTTATTTTTTGTTCTTTTAAATAATTAGAAAAGGGCCTTCTGGCCTATGACTACTACCTTTGGTGTCTGGACCCTTTGAGAAAGAAATAACAGTGGTGATGATGATGGTGACAAATCTGCCTCCATTAACTTGATGTTTAGAGTTTCCTACGCACTCTGCTAAGTGCCTTCTTCTCTGTAGTTCTCTCAGCCTTCACTACAGCCTATGAAGCAGGCATTGCTATAGCCCCCACATTACAGATGAGGAAGATTAACTTGGAGGAATTAATTAGCTTGTCTGAGTTCGCTCAGCTGGTCACTGCAGAGTTGGGGTCTCCCAGTCATCTGGTCTTAACCACTGTCCCACCTGGCTTCTTGGGAGCATCACTGAGCATTTACGCCAGAGCAGGCCTTTGGGGAACATCTAATAGGGGATTGAAACTTTTACTGATGAGGAAACTGAGGCCCAGAGAGGGAATAGGATCTGCTGGGGGTCATGCAGTCAGTGACCATTGCAAAACTAGACCCTAAGTCTCTTGATACCTAGTTCCCTAACTCACCGACCATGCACCACTTCCTTTGTGCTGCAGGCTTAAGTTCTGCCCACAGATTTAGCTGCACCGTGACTGCGGATCTATTCTACCTCTAGGCCTTCTCTCTCACTGACCCTCTGCTTGGACTATTCTCCCCTTCCGTCTTCACCTGGGTGAATTCCAAACCAGTTCCCATTCTATTTCTACCAGGAAGAACTTTACTGCAGGAGATGTAGTCTACTGTACTGAAAATAATGTGAACTTTGGTGTTGGCCAGTAGGGTCCAAATCTCTTTGCTAGTATTTACAAACTAGTTGGTGACCTTGGGTGAGATACTTTGCTTCTCCATCTGTTTACTCACATAGAGAGTGAGTGTAGTAATAGAGCGTATTCCACAGGGTGATTGTGGGGATTAAGTGGGATAGGGTGTGTAAAATGTCTGGTATCATACCTGGGACCTAGTAGGTGCTCATTCACTGTTAGCTGATTTTATTATGGACCATGCATCTGGAATTAATTCCTTTCTCTTCTGTGTTCCTGGATAACACTCACCTTGTTCTGCTTTTAATTGTAATTAGTTCTGAGCCCATCTTACCTCCTTCATTCAACTGTAATTTTCTAGATGGTAGCAACCACATCTTATTCTCCTCTGCATCCTCAGAGATGCTCAGTAAATGTTTCTTGGATTGTCTTAGTCCATTCATAGTATCCAAGCTTGAAATCCTTTTCTGAGGAAAATATTTAAGGAAAAGTTCTTCCAAAGGATTTTCACTGGAGATGAATATCCAAGGGGCATGTGTCCAGAGAATGGGGTGGAATCATAAGCCCCAGCCTGTTGTCCTGCAAAAGTTAGATCAAGAAGAAAAGCAGTTGTTTAACTGAATCCATGGGCTGCCCGAAGACTTCAGAGAGATTTCCAGAAGGCACAACAAGCTGGACTCTCCCTTAGGCTCAGTGAGGCTTCTGTTTCCATTAACTGATGTAAAATATCACCTTCAGCATAAAGAATGCCTCTGGCCAGCCGGTGAGCACCTTTCGCCCCAGCCTCAGCAGCAAAGACTTCTTGCCAAGCCTGTTTAATGTTTTCTCTGGATTGTACTACTCAATTGGCACAATTTGATGGAATGAACTAGTTAGTTGACTGACCATGTGGTTGTCGGTGCAGTTGGTCAGTTTGGGCTCTGCTTGCGTATATCCTTAGGTATAGTCTGAGAAAATTTAAATAGCCATATAAGCAGCAGGATTTGAATCAACCTGGGAGTATTTGGCTTGAGAGGGGGGGTACCCTGCCACTTTAGCTCCGGTTGGCCCATCCATCCTGCTCTAGATCATAGTAAGCTTTCTTCAGGTGAGAGCTTATCTATCCTTTTAAGTGCCAGGGTGGTGGTAGAGGTGGGTTGTCAGTGGGGCCAGGCTTTTTAGTGCCCTGGAAACCAGTTGGGCTTTGGACTTAGGCATACCTGGTTCTGTGTTCGACTTGATGCTTACTGGCTCTGTGATTTTCAGAAGTCACTGGTCTCTTTGAATTTTAATTTCCTTACATGTAAAATGGGAATAGTAAGAGTACCTCCCTTACAGAGTTATGAGGATCACAGATAAAAAAAATCAAGTATATTGTTTGACAGGTACATAAATGGTGGCTATCAGTGTAATTAGCATAGTCTTTTGTTTTGAGGCACCATTGACAATGGTAATGGTATCAGTTTTGCCACTGATTATGGTAAAATAAGCCATGGAGTTAAATGTATCTTTCCAGAAGCAAAGAAGCATGGCATTAAATCTACATACTTAAAACATTGTCTGTAGTGGCTCTCATTCATTCATATGCCTACATATGATGAGTTGCTTGTTCTGTGTATTAGAGTTTGGAGTATGGGTATTATTTTTCACATTAATGAAGTTGTGTATTATATTTGGTTCTCAGAAGTTATATGTAACTTCAGAGTTATGTGCTGCTTTTCATAAAGTGGATTGCTGATGATCTTGATCCCTTTGGTACCTTTTATTTTTATTTTTTAAATGTTTGTTTATTTATTTTGAGAGAGAGGGAGAGAGAGAGATCGCATGCATGAGCAGGGAAGGGGCAGAGAGAGAATCCTAAGCAGGCTCTACGCTGTCCACCCCGACGCTGAGCTCGAACTAGTGAACAGTGAAATCATGACCTGAGCCAAAATCAAGAGACGGATGCTTAACTGACTGAGCCACCCAGGTACCCCCATTTGGTACATTTTAGGCTGGCAGTTTATTTATTTATTATTTTATGTTTTATTTTTAAGTAATCTTTCCACCCAACATAGGCCTTGAACTCACTACCCCAATGTCAGGAGTTGCACACTCCACCAACTGAGCCAGCCAGGCACTCCCAAGGTTGACAGTATAATTTTGAGGCTTATCATAGAGCAGTGGGATTTGGCCTGAGATTTCTCTTTGGTGAAACCCATAGTTTCATTTTACCTTAATTGATTACATATAGTTAGAAGTTAAGTAGCTGGAAGTTTTGACAATTAGATGTTTGTTGTTTGAATGTGAGCTCTTTAGGCTTTGAAAATTCTGTGATCTCCAGGAAATTTGGTGATTTCTACTTCCTTTAGGTACTTTTCATAATATGCAATGTCTTGCATGTGCAATAACTTTTTCTTTCAATATCAAATTATAGTGAACTTATTGGAATATATTTGAAATATTATCAGGGATCTTAATTTAAGCTAAAATCCAACTGTGTTTAATGTTAACACTTGCAGAAAACTGAATTGCACTAGTAACGAAAATAACCTGTATTCAGCTGAATCCGTGCTTGAACAGCAAATCAGCTATATTATGACTTCTTTGCCTACAGCCCACAGGGTTCTTTCAGCATATATTAAAAAAGGCAGCCGGATTTCAAATATTAAAATGCAAAAAAACTATCTTAAAATAGGGTGAATGTGGTGTTTTAATAATGATGATTATAAGGGACTGTGGCTAAATCTGGTCAGTTTGCTTGTCGGGAGTTTGAAAGTACAGGTTTTGCAGTCAGAGTGGCTGGGTTCCAATCCTGCTGCCATGGCTCTAACAAGCTGAGTGACTTTGGGCAAGTTATCTGCCTCCCACCAGGATGTATGTACCATTTACAGGTACGGATTTTCTGTCTTATGGTCACTGCCAGTGTAGTATCAGGTTCACTGTAGACACATAAACAAAAACATTTTGTTGGAGGAATGAGTAAAAGATCTTCTCTATGTCTTAGTCTTCTCATCTATAAGAGGGGGTAATGATAGTATAGTATCTTCTAGAGTTGTTCTGAGAATGAAATCAGATGTCACGTGAAAAGTTCTCAGCCCACAGGAAGTGTCCATTCCTGTAAGATATGATTATTGCTGCTATTATTATTGCCGCTATACTGTTACTCCTGCTACTACTGCTGCTGCTGCTCACTGTGGACTGGGGCCTTTCTCAAGGGGAGGCTCTTCCCAGGACCCATAATGGTCTGGGTGGTTGTGTGATCTGGAGCTTGGTACGTAACAGGGGCTGAGAATGGAGTTGCCTCTTGCTTCCAGGCATTCCCAGGCCCCTTGGCCCTCTCTGGCCTTCTCCTAGGGCTCACATACCATTCTTCCTCCTACATCACTTGTGCCTGCTCATGCCTTTCTCCTCCTCTAGCCTCAAACTCCTTGAGGGCTGCGGGGCTACCTCAGCCATCTCTGTGTCACAGAGCCACCAGAGGCACTGTGGAGGTGCTAAGCAGACACTCCCTGAGGGAATGAAAAGGCAGACTGGAGCTGGACACTGCCCTGAGCCAGCCAAGGTTATAGGAATAATTTTCATATTTTTCCAGAGAAGAGGGACAAATGGGAGAACAAGAGAGGTCAGAGGATACATGGATCTTTGCCATTTTCTCTCCTGTTTTTCCTTCATGTAGTTTTGGAAATTCCTGTTATTTGAGGGAAGACAAAAGGATCTGGTAGGAGTTACAAAATCACAAGTTCTTTGGGTAGAACCCCTCCCACCTCCCTCCCTCCCCCCGACTCCCCACCAAGATAGCGTGAAGGCACCCAGGAGTACACCCCGCACAGTCACCTATTGCTTCCACATGGCAGTGTCAGGGGTCAGAGCTAAGCCTGTGAGCAGATAGTCCGTTTATTGTATTCCCCGTTGAGACCCAGAGTCCGGCTGTCACCATGGGCAGCTTCTGTGACCCAGGTAAGCAACCTTCCAGGACAGACCCACTCTAAGGAGAAGAGAGATGACTTTCGAGTTCTAGCGCAGTTTTCCACCAAATTGCTAGTTAGTGGACTTTTCTGAATCTTTGCTTTCTTAGCTGGTAAATATATTTCTACTTCTCAAGAATTCCAGTGCCTTCTTAAGGAACGCTAGTGGAGTTTTCAGGGAAATGTCCCACAG